CGAGAACGTGACGACCCTGCCAAGCAGACAGCGCACCTAGAACCAGATCGAGAACGTGACGACCCTGCCAAGCAGACAGCGCACCTAGAAGCCGATCCAGAGCCAGCTGCAGGTAAAGAGAAAACATTTGAGGAAAATGACAGGCAACTGCAACCATCCACACTTTGTAAGTGGAATTTTAATAATCTGTTTTAAGTATTAGTGTTTTTGATTCCACCTTATATAAAAACAATTTGTAACTATGTTACTGTTGGTGGTTTTGCTGCAAAAAGATATTTCCCCTTTTTCCAATGTGAAGATACAACTAAGAAACAACTCTTATTTTTCAGCGACTCTGGGTGAAGAAGGGAGCAATTCTGAAGTATCACCTGCTAAAGAGCCGCTGTCGAGCTTCTCAGAGTTACGAATTGTGCTGCTAGGGAAGAAAGGAGCTGGGAAGAGTGCATCTGGAAACACTATTCTGGGATTTGAAGGGTTCAAAGTGGAAGCCAGCTCTTCTTCTGGGAGGTCAGAATTTGAGAAGAAGAAGGGAGAAGTGTTTGGACGCAGTGTGGTTGTGATTGACACCCCCGATTTGTTCGATCCACAGCTTTCAAATGAAGAATCATTAAAAATGATTTTAAAATGCGTTTGTCTTTCTCTGCCTGGACCCCATTGTTTTCTTTTGACAGTCCAGGTGCACCAGTTTACGAAGGAGGAGAGAGAAGCTGTGGAAAAGATTTTGAGGGTCATGGGGGAAAAAAACTCCTCGCACACAATCATGCTTTTCACCCATTTTGATGAGCTGAGAACTGATCAGAAGATTGAGGATTACATTGAGAGCAGTGAAGATGACGAACTAAAGGCTCTCATTAGAAACTGTGGCAGCAGGTACCATGCATTTAACAATAAAAACACTCCCAGCCACAATCAGGTCGCACAGCTCTTGGAAAAGATAGATGCAGTAATAGAAATGAATGGAGGTAAGTACTACACCAGTGATATGTATGAGGAAACACAACAAGCCCTCAAACGAGAGGAGGAAAGGATGCAGAAAGAAAAAGAAGAGATGATTGACAGAGTGGTGAAGGAGCTGCTTCCAAAGTACCGACACTTAATTGACGAGGCCTGCAAATCTGGTCAACAAAATACATCTGGAAGCTGTAGTGTGCAGTAATCTTTTGAGAAAAAGGAGAGCAATGAACCATCTGAGTACAGTCTCGTACTTGCACCACTCTTTAGCTTAAGGAAACACCCTGCAACAACCTAGTTTGTCATCCTTGTAAAGTGCAGTTATGTTCTCAAACACGTGTCTCAGAAGGGAGCCACACTCTGTCAGATTATAATGGAATGATGTCTTTTTCAGGAGCTGTGTCAGCTCTTCATCGATTTGCTAACTCACCCTTCTTGTTTGTAACAAATCTGACACTTGAACAATAGTCAAAAGGAATGCTTTGTTTTCTGTTCCACCAAGATTGAACTCTGGAGTTTTCATTTCACTTCTGATCAGAGTCCAAACTGAAAGACTTCGAATGATGTGCCTGGTGTAAATTGATGAAGAGCACTCTGGTGAGGGTATCATTTGGTTTGTGTTTTTTTGTTTTTTGATGCAGGCAGGGTGATTGGACTGTGGGTTGGTTGAGAGATTCTTGTCTTAATAAATCTGTGATTTATTTTTGACCTTGCATTGGATACATGATAATGAAAGAGTGTATATATGACTAGTAACCAACGTTGATATACAATATTTCATGGCAAACGAATAATTTAGTTCCCCATCTATTGCTTTAATATTTAAGATAAATAATTAGCTTATAGAAGACCATGCAGTTGTGTAACAGCTTGGTATAATGTCTGACTTATATAATGTACAAATGCTTGTTTTTCTGCAGGTTTTCATGTGATTACTCAATTAAAGATAGATATTGAAAATGTTCACTTATACGTGTATACTGTGTGAAGGGCTAAACTCCACTCTGGGCTTGAAGAGTATGGCCTTCCTCAAGTTCCCCTTCGTTCACCTTGTACTGCAACTTCTCCCTCCTGCCCTGATCTGCTGTCCAGTGCTTCTAAGGTGTGACATCCCAACTGGTGACTGCAGGTGACTGCAGGTCCCCCATTGGTGGGCATCCTGGGGTTGATGGACAGTGACCTTGGACCCATTGTCCTATCAGAGACAGACTAGCTCTGCACTGTATATCACTCGATTGTTCAGAATAAAGACAGCTTGACCATGTTGTGGTCTGTGGACATCTTGGGAAATCTTATCAGAAGGGGCCTCTTCTTCCTCTGCATTTCCATGGACGCCCAAGCTGCCTGGTCAAGGCAACAGGAAGCGTTATGTCACACACAGCATCCACTTGTGTCTATGGCCCTTTTGCGCTGCTGTTTTGGACTTACTGCGTTTTGGCACTTATGTGCCTCGGCAGGTTTTTGCCCTTCGCTGTCAGTTCCCAGACACGCACAATAAAGAGCAGACGTCTGTGAAACCTGTCCGCCCCAGTCCTTGGTTTAACAGGAAGATTATTAGGAATCTTTAAGAACACTTACAATAATTATAGTAAAATAATAATTGCTCACACTTCTATAGCGCTTTTCTGTACAATCCACTCACAGCGCTGTACAGGTCATGGGGATCCCCTCCACCACCACCACCAGTGCGCAGCCCCACCTGGATGATGCTCCAGTCCTCTCCCCACACCACCAGCTCTCAGTGGGGAGGAGATAGTGAGAGATAATAATAGTGAAATAATATGCTTTGCTTCTACACTTGTATTAAGTTAATTTGGATGGTGTCTTTATCCATTAAATATTTAAATGACTTTAAAAGCTGCAGAAAGGGTGTTTATGAATAAACCCTGTTTTATTATAATCATTTTTACTGTGATACCCAACCAGGGGAATAACAGTCTTTTAACAAGATTGCTTCTAGAATATTTTATTACTGGTTCTAAGGAATACAGACCATGGACAATATTAACAAGGGTTGTTACATTTACCTTCCTTAGTGAATAGAACCCATGAACACTTTGCTCTTAATTACTGTTATTTGTGTTGTGAGAGTTAATGACAACTAATCTGAGACTCTCTCACTGCCTCACAGGATTACAATCCTGGTGAAGGAATCACAATAAAATGAAACAGAGGAACAAAGTACAACAGCTTCTGTTGTAACCTGTGAGACTGAGGCTCTGCTCCCTCTCACTGAAGGAGACATTTCTCTTTCTCAGCTTGTCGTCGGGCTCTTCTTTCCTCTTCTCTCCTGAGCTCTCTCTTCTTCTTCTCCAGCTCCTCTCCCCTGTATCTCCTCTCCTGTCTGCGGATCTCCGGCTCTCTCTCCCTCAGGATCCTCTCCTGTTCCTCCCTGATCGCTCTCTCAGCCTTTGGATACATGTCATTGGTGTAGCAGCCTCCTCCATTCCTCTCCACCATCCTGTCTATCCTCTCCAGCAGCACTGTCACCTGACTGCGGTCCTCTGGATTCATATTGTTAAACACATGATAACGACCCCCATAGTGACTGAGAATCTCTTTGAGATCCTTCATCCTCTCGAGACAATACTCGATACTTCTACCCCTCTGTCGATCCCCCTGTGTGAAGAGCACCATGGTGTAATCTACTGCTCTCTCTCCAAAGTTCTTCTGGATCAGCTTCACTGTGTCCTTTTCCTCCTGTGTGAATCTGCCCAGCTGGAGGACCACCAGGAACACATGGGGTCCCGGGGAGGACAGAGAGACACAGGTCAGGATCTCACGTATGACTTCATCATTGGACAGCACTGTGTCAAACAGGCCTGGAGTGTCGATCACAGCAACACGCCTCCCTGACACCTCTCCTGTCCCCTTCTCACACTCTTCAGTCACTCTGGAGGGAGAGCACTCTGATCTGAACGCCTCTCTGCCCAGGATGGTGTTTCCTGATGCACTCTTCCCCACTCCAATCTTCCCCAGCAGCAGGATCCTCAGCTCAGAGTTTTGTCCTGATGAGAAAACATGAATGATTGTGACTCATGTTTGCTGGTGTCCTCATGCCAGTCAGATGTTGGCTGATAAATTGAAATAGAACAGTTACAGCTGTTCAGGGATGTGTGTGAGTATTACTGTCAAACTGTTTTACCAAGAAAACATACAGATGGAAAACCTATATATACACATTCAGTCAAATTAAATATAGTTTTCTAAGGACTAATTAAAAAAAATAGATGGCAAATACATCATTGTACAATAAGTGTTAAGTGTGATAACTGTTTAAACTCTTTTTCCTCCGGCAGTGAGAGAAGAGGTAGAAACAAGAACCATCCATCCATTTTCTAACCCCTTTATACAAGTCGGGGTCGCAGGAGAGCCAGATCCTGTCCCATCAAGCAACAGGCGCAGGGCAGGATACACCTGGGACAGGACACCAGTCCATTGGAGATAGCACGCACGCACACACGCACACACACTGGGGCTGGTTTTCCTAGAAGACAATTAGCCATCAAGGGCGCAAGACAGCGTACAGCCTGGACAGCATGCATGTCCATCACAGGACACATACAGGCTCACACTCACACCAGGGCCAGTTTTCTCTCAAAGTTTAGTAATTAACACACCAGCATGTCTTTGGGCTGTGGGAGGAAACCAGAGCACCTGAAAGAAACCCATGTGATATAAGGGTGACATGCAGACTCCACACAGACAGCACCCAGGAATTGAGCCCAGGGCCCAGCGCTGCGAGGCAGCAATGCTGACCACTGGGGACATGAAATCTTATTGATATTTGGAAAAATGAGAAAAACAAATACAGATACCCTTTGCTGTGAGAAAGGATCCACAATTCGGTGTATTTTTAAAAAATACTGAATGAAGCAATGTTGTTTATTGCTTAGTTTAGACATGTTACAACAGTGACAATATACACATTTCACTGTCGCTTGTTCAGAAACAGAATTTTTGTTTTGTATTGAGTAAACAGTAAGGTCTCCCTGGTCTGGAGCAGCATGTCTGAGGCTCTGAGCTTCTCCGTGCTGCTGATCAGTAACTGGGCCAGCTGGCAGGAGGGGACGTGTCCAGAGAGACTGACAGGAGAATCAGGAGTGACTCCTGAACCACTGGAGCAGGAGGACTCTAGTGCAGCTCCAGGGTGACCCAGAGGGGGGCGATGTGGTTCTACAGACACTGCTGGGGGTCTGGGAGGAGCTCTGCAGCTCTGCCCTCAGGTTACAGCACAGTGTGGAAACCAGGCTGCACACTGGGAGTGAAGATGCCCTGATGGGCCACTAGGGGTCAGTATGAGCCAGACCTGCAGTGGGCTTGAGGAACAGGTGCACTCCTGACTGGGAATGGCTTCGTTTGCACAGGAAATTCAGACAGCAGTGAAAAATACAACTGGACGAGATAAAAAGGACTTAAGAAGCTTTTAATATGGGTTTTCTTTTGATAGGCACACTTAGGCCAAGAAGAGACTGGGAAGAAATATTGCAATGGAAACAAAAATAAAAACTGTAACACTGCAAAAGCACAAGAACAGTAATGGACGAAGCAAAACGTGTCTGGGACAATAATGCAAGACTTGTAGACAATGCAAGAGAAATGACTG